TCCATTTTTTTGACACTTTCAAACATTTTGACAAAAAGTCGGTCAGTTTAAAACGGCCCATACAGCAACCAAGCTATTGGCATGTGCCAAACGCGTGCACCTTGATACGTTCGGCGAGTCGTAATCTGGCAAGATTGCCCGTCATCTTGTCTGTGGATGACTGCCTCCAACGATTATGCCTCCTGTCAGCACCTCTACGAACTGCGGCCCTGCCTCGTGAGTATTCCCTATTTCAAAGATTTTGAGATGAGAAACACTACGCGGGTGGCACATGCTCACTGCATGCACCCGCACCCGCACCCGCGCCCGTCAAATGAGCCGTTTGGTCGTTTGTATGAGCGCTTCTCCCGCAGGAGGAAAATGATACTCTCTAGACAAGTCCATACCAACGCCCAGGCCTAATCGGGGAACGGCCTCGGCGAATGGGCCGTACATGTATCTGCATGTTCGCGGAAGTAGCCTACTGCTGCTGGCCCACTGCTGCTGGCCGGCTGTGCACCTGCTTCGACTTGTAGCCCTCAAAATCTATTTTCACCCTTCTGAATCGGTCAGTCGGAGTCTAGCGCAAAGGGGCGGGGGTAGCAGGGGTAGCAGAGATGACCCCGAGATAACCCCGAGACTTCAAAGGATGTATGGCCATCGTAGGCAGCAACAATCACCAACTGCTAGCTGCAGCAGCAGTGGATACCGAAGCGAGGCAGCAGGTTTATCAATTGTCCGCAGCTCATTGTCCGAGAACACTCAGCGCTTACATCATCGCTTCCGCGGCCTTGCTCGGCTCCTGCTTCTTCCGGGTCGGCTGCCCTCCGCATAGTTGCGAAGTCTCCTCCCAAGTCTTGCGGGCGGTGCGGCTCAGGTCGTCCCACGGCGAGCGTGTATCATGTGTTTGTGTGCAGCTGCAGCACAGCAGTCGGCGGACCCTCTCTGACCGGCCAGTGACCGGCGGAGAGAGAACCACCCTCCAGAACCAGATGAATATTCCTATAAGTTTACTTTCTCGACAAAGGGGTGAGGTCTACTGGATAGAGCCGCATTTTTTAGGTTCTCCGGCGCCTGCCCACGTTCCCGTTCGCCCCTTTCCCCCCTAGGCCTGTCCTCCATCGGCCGTTTTGCTTGTATGACGGAGAATAAGAAGGTGGAATTACTTGAAATTAGTAAAGAAATAAAGTTTGTGTATCTAAATCGAAAATGAAACGACCGATGGAGGACAGGCCTATTTCCCCCCCGCTCTTCGCTCCTTGCTCCCAGATCTCACATCTCGTTGTAAACCAGCAGCACACAGCTCTGGAAAATTCAGCCGTCAACTGAATGATGGATAACTCGCAGACAGGGACAGGGTTTCATTCACGGAGTCAAGAGGGCTTATTGAGTGGTGAGAGACGCATGTACTCCTTCCCACGTTCTGGTGATGTAACAGTGGCTTTGCGGTGACTGCTGCTATGTAAATACTGCTGTAGACTAGTCTCCAAAATCTCAGGTTGCGCCTCTGGCTTGCAGATGACACGTGCTGCATACGCTGATGTGTAGTCTACAGTTTCGACCTCGCTATCCTAGCTCAGCAAAAGAGGAAACCAAGCTCATGAGACGAGTTGGGAATTCGCCTGTAGGTAATCACCGGGGCAGGTGCTGTCACACCCGTTCATGTAGGCGAGAGGCAGCGGGTAATCGTTGAATACCATTCTGCCATAAAACTGGAAAAAGGCGAAGTGCATTTATGTTGTACAAAAGTCTGCAGGTAATGCAAGTAGTGTAGAGCGGGCATCGATACGCCGAGTAGCGAATGCAAGGCAGCAGCGCTTTGGCAGCGGGATCGTTCCACAGAGAAGCTCGTGACAACACGGTACGTACTACATATGGCCTGGTCTCAAGAGAACCAACCACCGGCGAGCTGCTGCGCCAGGTAGAGAGAGGCACGGCAGCGGGACCTGTACCACTGCTACTGCTGTGCTGTTGTGTACAATTATATACGAGAGCAAGGTTACTTCTTTTGCAAGTGCCTTTATGATGTTTATTGTAAACTCGCTCGCTCTTTGTCACCCTCGGTTTGTCTCACGCCGACACCGCATGGCAGGGATTCGAGCACGTTTGAGGAATAAATGCTGCTGTCCCGGACTCCGGGCGAGCGACGAGGACAACACCGAATATGCGAGGACATGCATAAGTTGTTTTGATCTTCTGGCGACTGAAAGCATGGATAGGTGTGCGTGTGGCGCGCCCGTTTATTCTTTGGAAATCTCACTCTGTGTAAGTTCGTGAGCAACAACGTAACCAGACTAATCGCTCCCATCGACAACACTCTCGGTACAATACGTCAAGCAGGAGAAATAGCTCCCCGCCCGCGCTACTCGTTCTCACCGTGTGCGTCTCGACGACATCTCTTTTGCATTCACGAAAGGCATGGCGGCACACAAGGGTGTTGCTT